TTTCCTATATGAATTGTACTTTAGAGTAATCAAATAGCTGAATTAGAAAAATTCTTTTTCTAATTGAAGAATATCAGCTAATAGAAGAAAAAGAGAATTAGAATATCTTCGTTTTATAACCCCTAATGAAGAATAGGTCTAGGTAATGATCATCAATGGCTGCTAAAACCATTAGGTAAAAAATTGATGGGGATCTTTATAATGGATGGATCAGGCTGAAAAATCCTAAAACCACTAGTCAATCTTTTCACAGACAGCTTCGAATCAATATTGCATCGCTTCAAGTGGACGCGGAAACCTTGCTGCTCTATAGGTCTCTTTATGGAATAGTTGTCTTACATAGTATAATCCATCTGTGTACATTAACAACCCCATCGATGTTTTAATTTTTGCTTTAAATATTCATATGTATTTTAAAGGATCCCAGAGGAGAAGAATGTTCTATTTACTCAGATACTTACCATGTTGGTTGCTCTTTCTTCATTCCTGATGTTGCAAGTCTCCTCTTATCATTTCCTTTCTGTCTGAAGAACTTCCTTTAGCAATTCTTTCAAGGCAGGTGTGCTGGCAACAGATTATTTTAGCTTTCCTTCATCTGAGAATGTCTTTATTTCATCATCATTCCTGAAGGATATTTTTACTGTGTATAGAATTCTGGGTTGACAGTTCTTTCCTCTAAGCTCTTTCAATATGCCACTTCCTTCTGGCGTCTATGGTTTCTGAAGAGAAATTTGCAGTCATTCAAATTGTTTCCTTGTAGATTATACATCATTTTTCTTTAGCTGCTTTGAAGTATTGTTTTTCTTTTTTTTTCTTTAGTTTTCAGCAGTTGGATCGTAGTGTGTCTGGGTGTGGATTTCTTTGAGTTTATCCTGTTTAGGATTCCTGGAGCTATTTGAATGTGTAGGTTTTTGTCTTTTGCCATACTTAGTACATTTCCAGCTATTGTTTCTTCAAATATTTTTGAAGTACTGCACTTTTTTCCCTCTCCTTATGGGATTCTAATGACAACAATGTTAGATCTTTTTTTTATTATCCCACAGGTCCCTGAGGCTCTGTTCCTTTTTAATCATGCCTCTTTTCTTTTTATTGCTCAGAATGGACAATTTATTAATTTATCATCAAGTTCCCTTACTCTTTCTTCTGTCATTTCCAATCTGCTTTTAAGCTCATCAATGTTTTGTTTTAATTTCAGTTACTGTATCTTTCAGTTCTGAAATGTTCTTGTGGTTTTTCTTTATATCTTCTCTTTCATTGCTGAGACTTTCTGTTTTTCCATTTATTTCAAAAGTATTTATAATTGCTTGTTAGAGTATTTATGTAATAGCTGTTTTAAAATCCTTGTCACATAATTCCAACATCTGTGTCTTCTTGGTGTTGGTATCTATTGACTTTCTTAACCCACGTGAGTTGAGATTTTCATGGTTCTTCATTTGACAAGTAGTTTTGGATTATATTCTGGATATTTTGATTATTGCAGACAACACTCTGGGTCTTATTTAAATCCTGGGGAGAATGCTTATATTTGTGTTTTAGTAGGCAAATGACCCAGTTGGATCAGGCCACAGGCTTCTACCAGCCCTCTGTGTGCTGGGTTTGCAGTCATCTTCAAACTGTTTTTGCGGTGCTGTTTGGATCTGTCCTGCGTGTGCATCTCTGAGTGGTGCATCTGTGAGTTCAGTTTACAGTGTCTTTGATGTGCTGATTAGGGCCAGGTCTGTGCATATGCAACTGTGGATCCCCCCCAGGAGTTCATAAACAACTTTGTGGGGTGGCTTTCTCAAGCTTCTCTCTCCTGTCAATCTCTCTGGTTCTTTCTAGTTTCCCAGGGGTCCAAGAGGGGAAAAAACTGGTAAACTCACCATCATTTTGGTGGTAGTTCAAATTTTGGTCTTCTTCCCTATTTGACCTGCTCCATATTACTTTTCATAGTCTAAAAATAGTTGTTGCATGCATTCCATGCAGGTTTTTAAAGCTGCATTCAGTGGGAGAACCAGAGTGAGGTGTGACTACTGCATTTTGACCCAGAACAGGAATTTCCCATAGGCCAGTTTCAGAAGCACAAAAAGTGAGAGACAGTCTTCTGATACGATACAGCAGGAACACACATCACCACTATGAGATAGTTCCACCCAAAACATCCCACCTGAATCTGATTGAGCCTCTAAATCTAACCATTAGTTTGTAGGAAATTCAGGAACAGAGGAACATGTTAATAACCCCACAAAGAGGCAAACTGCCAGATCCAGACTGTGGGAAATTTTTCAGGACCCAGTTCCACCCATAAATAAATTCCAAGAAAAAATAGAGGAAAAGGGAGCCTATAGATTGAAAGAGACTAAGAGACAAATTAACCAAATGTAATGTGTGGACCTTGTTTGAATCCTGATTCAAACAAACTAATTGTTAAAAAAAAATTGAGATAATTGGAGAAATTTGAATTATGGTTTGATACTTGATATTAAGGCATTGTTAATTTTTAATGTATAAGAATGGTATTATGTTTATTTTTAAAGATCCTTATCTTTTAGAAATATATATGAAGATGAGATTGTGTGAAATCTGGGGAGGGAGATGGTGGATGAAACAAAATTGTCAGTGAGTTGATAATTGCTAAAGCCAGGTGATCAGTGCATGAGGTTCATTAAACCAGTCTCTGTTTTTGTACATGTTTGAAATTTTCCATAATGAAATGGTAAAAAAAAAAAAAAAAGAAATTAATAAAAATTAAAGAAAT